CTACTAGTTGTTATCACTAAACAAATTCTAGTGTAAAGATCTTGGTAAATTCTAGTGTAAAGATCTTGGTAAATACTAGTGTAAAGATCTTGGTAAATTCTAGTGTAAAGATCTTGGTAAATTCTAGTGTAAAGATCTTGGTAAATTCTAGTGTAAAGATCTTGGTAAATTCTAGTGTAAAGATCTTGGTAAATACTAGTGTAAAGATCTTGGTAAATACTAGTGTAAAGATCTTGGTAAATTCTAGTGTAAAGATCTTGGTAAATACTTCACAAAAGCTGGATACTTACTTTTTCACTACCAGCTAAATCCACCAAGTACAATTTACCACTTAATTTCTTTTGGTTCTCCATATGTTCTTGCTTGACGTTTATAAGAAACACACTGTGACTCCGGGAGCTGTGCTCGTTCATATCTACCAGTAACAAGGTTGAAAGTAAAGCTTATATCGTACAATACGTTTTACAATTTCAATTATTATCATGGAAGATGCTTATTCATAGAGAAAATGGCTGGAAAAGTCAATTACATTCAGATGTTTGTTTTTTCATCTTATGGAAACAGCTTTGAAGAATTTATTTTTTTTCAACAGTTCAATTACATATAAATTTATTTACAAGCACGTCTAGAGAGAGAGAGAGAGAGAGAGCTGGAGGCCAGGAAAACTTTCCCACCGCTCCAAGGAAACTCCGAAGAAAGCAGGGGGGAAAACTCCTCGCCCCAGGGGCCCACAAAAGCACCCTGATCATTTGTGTTTCAGCAGGAAGAGAGAAAACACCATAATGTACTATATTTCACAATGCATTTTACTTCTAAGTTAATTTCCAAACAATAAAACAGAATATTATTTTTATAATCACTTATTTGATAATTATGACTACAATATGAATGTAAATTGTTAAAAAACACTTTACTATTGTCAGAGTAAACATGTATATTAAGCAGAGTGACTTACTTGTCACAGCTATGTGTCTGTTTGATTTTCCCTCATCAATAACTTCCATTACTTCTTCAGGGCTAGTTACGAATCTCTCTGATGCACCCTGGTGGTAAATAAAGACTTCATCAATACTTCTGTTCATACTAATTTGTGACAAAATTTAAATACTTATATTATTCATACATTTTGTTAACATATGAATATACTCTGAAAAAACAAAATTTAAATACTTATATTACGTACAGCCTTAAAGTAATTAATAAATATACATTTAATGAAATCACGCACAACATTACTTTTGAATAATACGTTATCATTCTACCCGTGAAACATTAACACCAAGATACGTAAATAAGAAATGTTTAACGGGGAAACCAAACCTACCAGGACAACAAGAATAAAATATTTCACATTAAGTTTCAAGGTCAAGTTTTAAGCTATGCTTTAAGATAAGCTAGACTACTTTTTAAAAAGGCAATAAAAACAAAGTCAGATTTCTACACGTGTAGCAGATAATTAAGCTACTTATTACCACGTCTAAGATAATAATCTAAAAACTCATGAAATGTTACAGATGGAGATTTATAGTACTAATATGTTATTATGGAATATTAATACTCATGTTCTTAAACTTTCATGTCATGAGTTAAAAATCACAGGTTATTAAAAAAAACAAAAGACATAGGTTGAAAGTTCACTTACAAGTTAACAGTAAATATTTTACTACTGTACTTTCACGAAAAAAAATATGGTCTCAAATCAAAGTTCGTAAACAAAGACACGAGACTTTTAATACAACAAACAGAAACCTAACACGACAACATGTGCATGGAAAGAATTAATCTTTTTGGTTTTGTTTATAATAAGGTGCCCGGAGTTCCAAACTGAAAAACCGGGATAGCCCAGAATTTGTCCCTAATTTCAAAACGGTTATTAAAAATTTGAAATAATTTAACTTATATTTAATTTATTGAACTGTTCCACATTATTTACAAATAAAATAACATTGATATTGTTTTTTGAAATAATTTCATGTACTTTTTTGGTGATAGACACAAAATAAATGAGCAAAAATATGCTAATTATACATTCAAGAAATCTTTAATTATTTACTTTATCTGATTCATCTTAAAATAGGATACTTCATGCTTCGATTTATTTGAGAATCCATAATATTTTCACACATTCTAGAATTTTCTTTTAGCATTACTCTGAAGCTTCTTAAAACATATTTTTTGTGAAGAACGAATGGAACACAGAAGATTTGTTTTCTCATTAAATATTCATAAAATTTAGCACAAGACTTTATAAGGTGTGTTTCGATGACGAGTACTACCTTAATTCTCTCTACATTCACACCTGCACAGAACTGGGTTTCTCACCATGCACAGTCAGAACATTCGAGAGTTTGGCAGCAGAAATGTGTTACAACAATAAGCAAGTCGAGTCGGCCAATTACATTCGTGATTCGAGGTGACTGACAGTTTCATGTCTGTCATGAAAACCAAGAAATTTTTTTGCATTCTGAGAACTTTTTCTCAGGACAAACTACCAAAAAAAATAGTACTGGGTCGGCAAAACTGGGACATCTGGTCACCGTAGTTTATAAAGTGTAAACACCTAGAATTTAGTTAACAAATACTTCTAAAGCAATATATAACTGTATATATACAGAATAATACACTTCAAAAACACTACCCAGCTTCTTTCAGTATCTACAAGCTTAAAACACTGACAAGCTTCTTACAGCATCTACAAGCTTAAAACACTACCCAGCTTTTACCAGTAACTATTACCTCTAGTCTGTAACAACTACCAAAACTTTTTAATCATGTATAATTATAAGTCACAAGAAACGTGACCTTGTGTGTGTTTGTGGTTTTACCAGTAACTATTTCCCCTAGTCTGTAACAACTATCCAAACATTATTGTTCACAATAACACAGCAATAAACCATACCTTTACGTAAGGAACTCGGTTTTTGTCTTCATGCACTGACAAGTTAGTTTTTGTTACTGAAAAACAAAGGCAACAAATTAAAATTGTATTATTCATATTTTTACAAATTATATAATGAAATCATATGGTAAGCAGTTAAATGATTCAATACACAATACGTCCCAGTTTCTTAACTTATCAACTGTTCAATGTCTTTCAATAACCAACTGTTTATTTTTGTATATTTACATTGATAAATATTCTTAGAAAACAACCTATATGTAATACTGTTCATCACCGAGTTTATAACTTCCTTGTTCCCTTTACTCGTAACTACCAATAATTAGTGGTTTAACAAATCTGATCTCATAAAATGTAAGGACTCCATGCCAAAATTACACAGTTGAACATAATCAACAGGGTATAAATCAATAAATGTTAAAAATCTTTTAGAAATGACATAAAGTTGTTCTATAGGTTAATAAAGATTGATTAGTCAAACAATTTACCACAAACATGTGTCGTTTTACAATACTTATGTTGCTACTCCTTCAAATTAACAGAGTCAGTATTAATTATCAAATACTCCCATACTATACTGTTAAAAAGACAAAAGAAAATCTGAAATAAATTTACACCAATTTGTCCAACCTACTTTTCTGTAATTAATTTGGAAGTTCACATACATTTCATTAATGTAATAATACTTAAACACCCAAACTGCTCAGTACAAATGTAATTACATACAGAATAGCTTTAAACAACCTCACTCTGAAAATATCTATAAATAAAAAATCGTTTACCGTGTACTATCACAAATAAAGTAAGAAAAACTGTAAAATAATTACTATTATACATACAGAAAATAACAAAAACATAAAATATTCTTATCTAAACTGTAGTAGTTACAGAGATGAAAGACAGATTTAATACTGACTAAAGATATACTTGTTTACACATAAGACAGATTTAATACTGACTAAAGATATACTTGTTTACACATATGACAGATTTAATACTGACTAAAGATATACTTGTTTATAGTATGTATACAGATTTAATATTGGCTAAAGATATATGTTTACAAGCAAAACAGATTTAATATTGGCAAAAGATATATGTTTACAAGCAAAACAGATTTAATATTGGCAAAAGATATATGTTTACAAGGACAACAGATTTAATACTGACTAAAGATATACTTGTTTACACATATATAATCGTGGTACGGGAGTTTCCTCCCAAACTCTCTTGAAGGATTCGAGTAAGTTTACTGTCACGATAGGGTATGTGGCTTTTCTAAGCATAAAGAATTACAAAACAATGACACAAAACATAGTTACACTCAATATTACGATGATTTAGTACAAGAATGTTAGCCCTCTGATGATTTTATTCAATACATCATTACAACAAAATTTAACATCAAACTGTCTTATTTTTCTGCCTCTATTAAACATTTAAAAAATGGTAAAAAACAAAATTATAGATATATATATTTCAGAGAAACTTGTATTTAAATTAATAAATTACAGAACACAATATAGATAATACTCTCACATAGAAACCAAACATTTTACGCACAATATATCAGGGAAATGTACGTCTAAAACATCTTCTACAACTGATTTAAAAGTAGAATTAAGATATTTCTTACATTTCCATCAGCTAGTGCTGAGATAACATTGCCCAGAGCAGACAGAGATTTATTGATATTCTTGGCTTCATCCAAAACCATACCCTCGGCTCCAGTTTTACTCACCTGCACGGTAAAGTCTTTATTAGACCAAATTTGATCCAAGAAATAAACTATTTAACACTAACTAAAGATAAAATGTATAGACAGTAAACAGATATAACACTGACTGACGTATTTATACAGAAAATATTAAATACAACTGAAGATAAATTGTCTTTATTTAAAACAGACTTAATAGTAACTAGATACCATCTGTTGTTCTCCTGCCTCCTACAATGAAACAGAGACAAAGTCAACCCTGGATTTTGGTAGGAGGTAATAAAATTCTATTGTTTGTAATTTTTTTACACAGGTGTTAGTACTTTAAATAAATAATCCTTTGATAAAGACCTGTTGTTGTCCCTAGTGTATCTGATATTGATCAAACCTTTAATGAATAACAAGCAAACATGAATACAGAACAAACATCTGTTGTTCTCCTGCCTCCTACAATGAAACAGAGACAAAGTCAACCCTGGATTTTGGTAGGAGGTAAGAAAATTCTATTGTTTGTAATATTTTTACACGGATGTTAGTACTTTAAATAAATAATCCTTTGATATAAGACCTGTTGTTGTCCCTAGTGTATCTGATATTGATCAAACCTTTAATGAATAACAAGCAAACATGAATACAGAACAAACATGTTATTTAATACCTTTCACAAGTACAGTTTTCACTGTTGTTTATAGTGTGTTTTAGTTATTTTGTGTGTTTTGAAATGAATAAAAAAAAAGAATATTTATTATTATAATTATAGCTTCTAACTGTTATTCAGCAAACAAGAATTAGGAGCTTAATACTGTTTATTTTGAAATTAAAACAATGTTCTCACAGTTTTTTAAAGTCCCAGAGTTGGTAAAGAATAAAGCAGTTGGCAGACTTGAAGTTATTACACGAGCGTTGTTCCACAAGACACGAGAAAAAAATATCGTTAAGTGATAATAAAGAATAAATTAACATGTCTAAGTGGTGAAAAAAATATCGTTAAGTGATAATAAAGAATAAATTAACATGTCTAAGT